ACTCACTTGCAAAAGCTTCCCCCAATGGCAGCAAATTTGAGACGCGACGACGACACACGACGAGAGACGACGACAGACGACGAGAGACGACGAGAGACGACGACAGACGACGAGAGACGACGAGACGACGCAAGCCACGCAAACATAGCTCCAACCCCCAGACCCCCAACTATAAACGGGAACCCTTCGCTACGGATTCGGGAAAAAACATGAAAAAGAAACGAAAAATAAATGAAAAGCAAAAACGAAACGAAAAAAACCTGAAAATGTTTGTTCGCTCAAAAATCGCAATTTTCCTCGTTTTTCTTTTTTCTTTTTTTTTCGTTTTTCGTTGCTTGGTGGCCGAAACTAGCCGAAACTAGCCAAAACGAAAAAAACGAAAAACAAATGAAAAAAACTCGAGGAAAATTGCAATTTATGAGCGAACAAAAAGTTTCTCTTTTTTTCTTTTTTTTTCGTTTCGTTTTTGCTTTTCATTTTTTCTTGTTTTTTTCGTTTCGTTTTTTGCTTTTCATTTATTTTCGTTTTTTCATGTCTTTTTCGTTTTGGCTAGTTTGCGCCGCAAATCAACGATAGTCAGGTCCAATTCACAAAAGCTAAAGCAAAATAGAAGGAAATGTGTGATCCACCAGCAAAGAGGTTTCAGGACTAGCTCACTTGGCCGCTTTCCTTCAGGGGAGGCAATTGCAATTGAGCTCCAGCATTCTTTTGTCTTTCATGATCGCTTTGGCTAGTTTCGGCCACACATTGGCAACATTGTAATTTAATTCATGTGTTCACGTATATAATTTAGTCTGCTCATGTTGTTTTAAGTTCAGATAGTTTCGGCAACGCGTGAACGACAGTTTAAGTACATTTCACAACAAGGCTCATCTAGCTTGAACCGGGTGTCTTCCAAATAGCAAGTGGGTTTTTGATTTGGAATAGAACCTTGTTGTCAAGTTTCTTGCTGGCTCCGTTAAAAGCATGTAACGCAGCCATGTAGTTTATTTGGTCCTGCTTGGGAGCAAAGAGCTCTAAGAATGAGGCAACATCCACATGCGCCTGATACACTCAAGACTGACCTATATATACAGTCATGGAACTTCAAGAATTTAGATTTCTTCGTAGTGGGCAGCCATGCCAGCGTGGAGATATGATGATGATGGAGACGTTACGTGTGAAGAGTCTGCAGAGACCATCTCCTTCCTCACAACCACGAACATAATCCACCACTTCTGGCGCCACAGCCAAGCACCACTATTTCAAAAGTTTCGCGCCACATTTTGATAGAGCTTTCGCTTCAAGATTTTTAAAGCACTTGCATGGAGAACGTGGACCTGTTGGAGCTGCAAAAAGAAAGGCTTGACTTTGACCGGGACGTTGCAACTTCAATAGGTCCAACTCGTACTTCACACTATTTGCCAGATCTTTCTCGACCCTCTGCGGAGTCATTTGTTGATGTAGGTCTGCGCGGCCCCGAGGATTGCCTAAGCCAGCTGGAAGCACCAACCACTGCGCTTATATGCTGATTGCTCAATATGCCCAGCTTGGACGTGAAACTTTCTCGGTTTGACATTTACCTTGTATTGGTGCTCAGGAGCGGAGGCTCAACGATCTTGGATTGGAAGATTATAATTGGAGCAGTCGGATGCAAGCCCCTGAAGCTTGTAGGTGCAATGTGCGCCCGAAGCTTCAGTGCCTTGCGCCCGGCCAAGCTCGATCAATGGGGCCTTGCAGGAATGAATGAGTTGGAGACGGAAAACCCGTCACAATTTTGCCAGCCAAATTGATTTGGCCGGGAAAACCCGTCACGTTGCAGACCGGGGCCCCAGCCCCAAAATGTGATGGGTTTTTTGAAAAACCCGTCGCAATTAAATAAGGAAAACGAAAACCCGTCAAACTTTCCAGCTCATCACCAACTTCAAAAAGTGATGGGTTTTCCAAAACCTATGGAATTGTGATGGGTTTTTTAAAAAACCCATCGCTTTTCTGGGGCCAGCCGAGCTTCCAGATTGTGATGGGTTTTCTGAGCAAAACCACTCAGCCAAATGGATTTGGCCACCAAAAATGTGATGGGTTTTTTAAAAAACCCGTCGCAATTTGACCAGCCAAATCCATTTGGCCGGGAAAACCCGTCACAATTTGACTAGCCAAATCCATTTGGCCAGGAAAACCGTCAAAATATAGCCAGCCAAATCTTTTTGGCCAGGAAAACCTCGAACACTTGGTATACCTAGGGTCCAACCGCTTTGCACTTGGAGTAATGAGGTGTTGCAAAACCTGTTTGGCATAAAGGACTTGTCACGATTTTACTGTTAAATTGTGTTGGTTCAGTAAGGACACCTCAGTTTCCAACAAAGACCAAAGCAGAAGGGCCGGGGCTTTGAGCTGGGTGCGCTTAACCTTGGTAGGCTATTTGACTGCCAGCTAGCTGGCAGCCGGTGTGCTCGTTTACACAACCTGTTTGAGTTTGTGGTGTGTGCTTCTTGAAGCTTTAAGCTTCTGGAGGGCTTTAGGACGAGGTGAGAGTTGTTCGAGTAAAACGGTCGCGTCCGTTGGTTGCCTTGAAGCTTCGTGATTCTTAGAGCCGCAACTTGTTGAGGCGATGTGGTAGCGGGGGGACAATATCGCGTCACATGGACGATCAAAGTGAAAAATAGCATAAGCGAACATTCAACCTTTTGACCTGCTGGCTTGGTTGCAATGTGCGCATGGAGCCTGGTAATTGAACTTGGTGCTATTTGCTATCATTATGGTTTTGAATGGGATGCCACGTGATGCGTGCAAGTGCTGATTGTTTGCAAATTGCAACAAATTCTGCGAGTCCGTGGAAAAAGCTGCCAGCTTGTGCTTTGGAGTTTACCGGACGGGTAGAAATTTGGACACCCACTCGCTATTTGGAGGACACCCGGTTCAGGCTAGATGAGCCTAACAGCTAAAGCAAAATAGAAGAAAGTGACTAGCCGACCAGGGTAGCAGCGGGTAACAAAGAGGGTTCAGGAGTAAGTGACTTGGCAGCCTTCGCTTCAGGGGACGCAAACGATAAACGCAATCGCGCGAAAAAACACGGGTGGGCGTGTAAAAAATGATGATGCAAACGAAAACACACATTTACATGAAAAAAGACACAAATGGACATGAAAAAATGATGATGAAAACGAAAACGAGATGAAAAAATAAATGTTTTGTCCACCCCCAGTCTGTGGCTGTAAGATTCTCATAAATCCAGTTCCTATACTCGTGAGCATGAGGGGCGCCTACGATCATGGCGCTTTGAAACGCAGCTTTGTTTCACAGGTTTTTCTCACACCCGTACCTACGGTGCGCAAGGAAGAAGAAGAAGAAGGAGCAGAAGAAGAAGATGATGATGACGCAGAAGAAAAACAAGAAGAAGAAGAAATCAAGCTGGCTGACCCCAGCTGCACGGCGGCCACGTCAACGTCCGGCCACAGGCTGCCGCGGCCGCCGGCTGTCGGCCACAGCCCCCGGGACCGCCCCCGCGCGCGGCGGCCACCGCCGGCCACCCGCCACCCAGCACCACCACCGGCCTCCGGCCACGCCGATAAATCGACCATCGCCGCCGCCGCTTCTCTTGCATTGTGCTGTTTGGTTGCGGGAGCGCGGCGAGACTATGTCAGTGATGTGCGCCGTGCAGTTGGCGTGGTCGGGGAAAGTGTGTTTAAGCGGCTCTGGGCCGTTGGGGAACGGGAAACATGCGTGTGTAAACACGGCGCATCGCTGGCGAGCCGGATGATTTCTGGTGTCTATAGGAGGCTTGGTATTGGTTGAAGGATGTTGCGAAATGACGTCTGTGACGTCGCGGTGCCATGCTCATTGTCATGAGTAAGGATGAAAAGCTACTGTAAGAGGTTGACGTTGTTGGACATGCAGGTGATCACCCAGTTGCTATACATCCACTGAGCCGGATGGGTAAGGCTTGGTGAGCGAACGCAAAAATGAATTTTCCGCAAGTTATTGGGATGTTTTTTGAAACGAAAACGTCTTTCGATGGTATGGGTAGCAGTTACCCTTTGCACAACTCAACTAAACATCATGTTCACATACATACATACATACATACATACACGACATCACCATGCACAACATCTTTACAATACACCATTCCCACTTCCAACGATTTACTGCAATGCATCAGATTCACTCCACACTCGATGCACACTCTGACATTGGTTTTCAGCTAACTCAATTGCCACGATGGGAAGGAAGGTGAGAAACGGTATGGTGGAGAGTCCGCAATACTTGAAGATGTTTTAACAAAAGCTGTTTCGCAAGTCTGCAGGACTCAACGGCAAACCTCTGGGGCCTGGAGGTCTTGAAGAGGAAGCAAGGCCAAAAGCTCAATGCGTGACTGCAGAGAAGGTTTTAAAAATTGAAAGGCAGGTACGTCAGTGCTGGCCGGGGACTGATATCACATCCACTTGGCGCGGTCTTTGTTAGATGAGGCACACCAAGGGATCCTCATCCCCCTGCGTCTTTTTTTTGCGCGCTTTGTACATGTAAAAAAATTGACAAGCTGTACGCTAATAGCGATACTAGGAGCCTTTAGTAGCGAAAC